AAGTTTATTTAAAAAAGAACAGGTATTGCGCGCGATAGAAGGAGTAATTGACATCACATGGCTATTTTCAAAAGTGGCCTATCAAGCGCGCTGGAATTTTCGTCGCGAAAAAAAGTGAAAGTAATGAACGCTGTGGAAAAAAATTTTGTGCCGATAGGTATTCACATTTATCTGTATTATGACTCCTAAATGTCTGTACCGGTACGCCCAGCCACCTAGCTAATAAACAATAGTCATTACTCACACAGCTGAAGCAAAACATAAGTGTCAGAAGTGGGATTCGAACCCACGCCCGGAAGACCGGACTGCGACCTGAACGCAGCGCCTTGGACCGCTCGGCCATCCTGACATGCGGTTTCGGCTGCTTTTGTCGAGAAATAAAACATATGACTAAAGTTTATTTAAAAAAGAACAGGTATTGCGCGCGATAGAAGGAGTAAATGACATCACATGGCTATTTTCAAAACTGGCCTATCAAGCGCGCTGGAGTTTTCGTCGCGAAAAAAAGTGAAAGTAATGAACGCTGTGGAAAAGAATTTTTGTGCCGATAGGTATTCACATTTATCTGTATTATGACTCCTAAATGTCTGTACCGGTACGCCCAGCCACCTAGCTAATAAACAATAGTCATTACTCACACAGCTGAAGCAAAACATAAGTGTCAGAAGTGGGATTCGAACCCACGCCCGGAAGACCGGACTGCGACCTGAACGCAGCGCCTTGGACCGCTCGGCCATCCTGACATGCGGTTTCGGCTGCTTTTGTCGAGAAATAAAACATATGACTAAAGTTTATTTAAAAAAAGAACAGGTATTGCGCGCGATAGAAGGAGTAAATGACATCACATGGCTATTTTCAAAAGTGGCCTATCAAGCGCGCTGGAGTTTTCGTCGCGAAAAAAAGTGAAAGTAATGAACGCTGTGGAAAAAATTTTTGTGCCGATAGGTATTCACATTATCTGTATTATGACTCCTAAATGTCTGTACCGGTACGCCCAGCCACCTAGCTAATAAACAATAGTCATTACTCACACAGCTGAAGCAAAACATAAGTGTCAGAAGTGGGATTCGAACCCACGCCCGGAAGACCGGACTGCGACCTGAACGCAGCGCCTTGGACCGCTCGGCCATCCTGACATGCGGTTCGGCTGCTTTTGTCGAGAAATAAAACATATGACTAAAGTTTATTTAAAAAAGAACAGGTATTGCGCGCGATAGAAGGAGTAATTGACATCACATGGCTATTTTCAAAAGTGGCCTATCAAGCGCGCTGGAATTTTCGTCGCGAAAAAAAGTGAAAGTAATGAACGCTGTGGAAAAGAATTTTTGTGCCGATAGGTATACACATTATCTGTATTATGACTCCTAAATGTCTGTACCGGTACGCCCAGCCACCTAGCTAATAAACAATAGTCATTACTCACACAGCTGAAGCACAACATAGGTGTAGGAAGTGGGATTCGAACCAACGCCTGAAGCCCGGACTGCGCCCTGAACGCAGCGCCTTGGACCGCTCGGCCATCCTGACATGCGGTTCGGCTGCTTTTCTCGAGAAATAAAACATATGAGTAAAGTTTTTCTAAAAAAAGAACAGGTATTGCGCGCGATAGAAGGAGTAAATGACATCACAAGGCTATTTTAAAAAGTGGCCTGTCAAGCGCGCTGGAGTTTTCGTCGCGAAAAAATTTGAAAGTAATGAATGCTGTGGAAAAGAATTTTTGTGCCAAGAGGTATTCACATTTATCTGATAACAGATATAGGATCTTCGCGTCCGTTTATTATACTTTGAAAGTTAGCCAGAATAACAGACACACTTGATTTGAAAGACATCACGTCATCTCATGAAGTCCTATTGGGTCGCGGTCTTCGGGCTGTTACGAAGCCGTCCAGGTGGGCTCTCACGAGTTATTTTCTTAACGCTGTCTGTTTGATAGTCGTAGATGTAATATTCTTTGTTAACATGCAGCTTCTTACACCTGAGTTGATAAGCAGGTGATTGCGGCAAAGATTTGGCGAAATCGGCAAGTTTATTTTTAACCTCTCGTGTTGCCGGTGAAAAATATTCGTTCACAGAAATGATTTTTGACTTTAGGTCACCGCGCGACAACCAGACAGAGTTCTTAGCCTTGAAAAAAAAACAAAATTTCACAATCACAGGAGGGCACTTCGGCGGTGAACACCTACTCATTCGGTGGGCACGCTCAACAACGTCAGGCGTAACTTCGCGGCCTTGGGCTGAAGAAAGCACTGCGAGTGTTTTTTTTTACTCTGTGTCCTGCCATGATTCTTTTTGATCGGCAATACCATAAAAAGTTAAATTATTTCGCCGGGCTCTGTCTTCCAAGTGGTCCAGACGAGACTGGGTACTGTGTAGATGATTCGCTAATTGGTCGACAGTGCTCTCAACAGCCGCAAGGCCTTCTTCAAGGTTATTTATGATAACAACGATTGCTTCCAAGGCTTCAAGACGTTCGAAAATTTTACCGTGCTTTACCTCAATACTCAGTTGACAAGCTTTGATATTCTTAACATCGGCCTTTAAATAAACCAGCCCTTCAGCAAGGTCAGATGTCTCAGTTCTAGTTTTTCCGAGCATCTCAGTAATAGTGGTTAACAGGTCTGTCTCATTCCCAGCGTTAGAACGAATGTTCTTGGGGCCTGGATTACATTCAACATCACCCGATAGAAGCAGCAGAAGCGTTTCAGCCCACTCGCGCATAATTGCACAAAACATTTGTGAGCTCGGAAACAGGAGAAGACATAAATTACTGCTCTTGTTTGCGTACAGCGGAGAATGACTGCAAACATGTGGGCTGAAGAAAAGATAAAGAGCCATTCCACTGCGTGTGCTGATTCCGTGCACACTGAAGGTGAAGGTCTCTTGAGGGTTGCTTCACGGCTTGCGTTGTTATCGTTGACCATGGCGCTGGCACGTCTGCGAAGAGCGCAGTAACAGACAGGGGGTAGTCGAAAGAAGCACCGATGTAATCGCCAGGACAAACCGCACATGCAGTTTCGTAGTACGTGTCGTTCTTGACTGATTCGCAAATATATTGGCAAATTGATCCTTTGATTTGGATGCAGTTGAGATTACAGTAAGTAAACACGATACTGATATTGCCATTGTGCTACCAAAACACAATGGAAATTGAGATGAGTAAAAAGTAGACGATGACAACTCAGGCACTTTCACTGTGAAAGAGGCGAGTAGTGAATGTAGGTCGGCTAATTGAAGCCCTATTTATTTCACACGCACCTTATTATTTCACACGCACCTTATTTAAGTGACAGGACCAGGGCACCCAGTTATTTAGCGCGTAACTGCGCTTCGGTTGACCCCCTCATAAATAATCGTGTAATATAGTAATAACTTATGAGTCAGAATAAGAGAGCAATACGATTCAACGACGATAATTAGTCCAGTTTTCCCCCATACAGCTCTCTAGAGGAAAGGAGGAATACTAGAATATCTCTGTATTTTTGAAATCGAGGTATTTAGCACTGAGGCGAAACAGACCGAAATTAAAAAAAGTAATACTGTCACAGACGAATCGATAGCATTTTACAATTACCAATCAGGAAAATGCAGCAGTTGCCAAGCTTTTCTTCGCAAATTGGACCAAAATAAATGCAGTAACACTAAGAATAATACTTTCCTTCAGTTCAGCTAGAAGATCTTGGCGGTGATTCTTGTTTGTAAGCGCAAAAAAAAACATGCGCATGCTGAAATCTCGTGCGCCTTACTGTATGTCATTTTCTGAGGCATCGCCGAAACCCTCACTCAATGCGCCCTCTCGCGGTTGCCGTATGCGCGAGGTGATACTCGTTGGTTTTGCTTGGGAGCGCGGCGATTGGGACAGCCGCAAGGAAAGATGTGGCACGCCCGCCATGTTAGAGGCCATGCTGTTGGTGATAGAATGTTGTCTCTCTGGTGTGCTCAAAAAAATTGACTACCACGACAGCAGTAGCTCACGACGGACGATGCACAGTACACGCTGAGACCTATAGGGTGGCTCGGCCCTAGCAGACCATACAAAAGCTTCATTTCGGGGCATCGCCTATATTTTGTTCTGGTAGTTTCGGCTATCCGCATTTAAAACAACGCAATAAGCAATAATATGTACACCTATGACTCCGCAAGCTGCAGTCTAGCGTTGTTCGAATACGCCTACGACCATCACTTATAATATGCCCATCAAGGCAGGGTTGCGCGCACTACGTTCACACAAAGCATGTCTCCGTCTAACGAGAGTACCCACGTTTTGCTTGGCTAAGAGCTACTCTTTGCATGCCAGTGCGTTCGGTGTGCCTGTTAAGGCCATAATACGCACAAAACTACTGAATTTATACAATGAACTCGATCCACTTCGTAAGGTTTGGATAAAAGATCATAGTCTCACCTAACGGTTGTCTGCTGACAGCAGCGCATGAAATATATTTCGACGATGGGCGGAATCCGCTCCATTTTTTTATTACTGCATTCATTCAAATAATCAAGCTAGGCCTTAGACGCCCGCTAAAAAAAGAAGAAAAAGAATATATCGTAGATGTCTTGCGCACACGCTTTTTTATATTTTTTTCAAATATCGGCATAACTTCTAAAGTTACGAGGCATGCCCTAGTAGTGTCCCCGATCTATTCTCACATCCTCGGTTTTTTAGCCTGACTTTAAGTAAATTGTGGCTTTTGCACATCGACTCCATTGACATGCCACCGCCGTGACTTCGAATCGAGCCCCCGTCCTCAATCTTGGCTGACTGATACCTCACCTATTAAGCTACTATGGCCGAATACCTGTAATGAGGAAATATATTTGACATTAATGTCTAATGAAAACATTGAATTTTATTTTGTGTTGTGGACGAATAACGTGTGATTATGTTTCTTAGAAATTTTAGATTTTTGTTGGTATGTAAATAAAAGTCTAAAAATAAATAAATACTCGTGGAGACACATGCATTAGAACAACCTATCGCAACCTCAGCATGCGCTGTTCAGTTCTTGAAAAAAAATGGTCGTAATATTTATTTTGTTCTAGAACTACCACAAGCCCGTTTTATTTGCCTTGAAATGTCAATACTCCATAACATACACAGCCTAGAAGATGTAGACAAAGGTTCCTTTGGAGCCACAGAGTTTAACTAAACAGAGACAAATGCAAGAACGTTAAATGACACAGCACAGCTGATCACTCTGTAATATGCAATAAGTTGAGAAGTGGAAAGTGTGCAGCAGTAGTTGACTCGTATGCGTTAATGCGCTTTAGAGTATGCGTTAATGCGCCAGAGCTAGGAATTTAATTGCGAACTTCATTTACCAAGGTTGCTTTGACACAACAATTTGTTCACTGCCTGAACCGCGGTAGTTATTGGTGATCGTCCAATAACAGAAATGCCCGTAATTGATAAGATTCCTAATCGTATGTCTCTGTAGAAGAGAAGAAAGTTGCAAGCTGTAGTCATGCAAACATACACTTTAGCGTGCATACGTGCACTTGAATATTGTAGAATGTACTATGCAAACGGTCTCATTTTGGCTTCTGTGAATCACGCAGATGAATCTCGTGTCCTTGGTTCGTATTACTATATACTGACGAACTGGTGATTGAGGCCTCTGCACTCTGTGTAGCACATACTGTAGTTGTTCGGCTAACGAGCTTTCTCTCGGTCCAGGATACCCGTTTGCGTGCCAAGAGGAGTTCAGTATGTGGCTTTGACAGAAGTCTTAAGTTTTTATTTTTGATACACTTCTTATCAGCTGAAGGCGAACGCACGCACGAGTTTCGATTCTGTAGAGCTATTACAGCTAGTGGGAGATAGACGAGCTGAAGCTCAGTATTATCTCTGCAAATCGCGGTTAAGCTCCGGATTGTCGGAACAGAAACCTTTGTGCATTTTACCCTGTTTTCATTCGCCTGGAATCAAGTCCGTAGTCTCATGATTACGAGTACCACGCCACCGCGGCGAGAGAATCGATTGAAATAAAGGCACGCGCTATGCCTCAACAGTGAGCAATTGGTTCAAGTGGAGTTGAATTTCGACGGATAACTGCGTCCCTTTGGGATATCAAGTTTCTTACAAGCTCGAACAATAGTCACACGGTCGACTTATGGATGATGTCCACGTTTGAGCTAAAGGGCTTTCCGTTGACGGGTGTCGCTGCTATAGTGTCGCCGGTGTCTCCTTCGCGCAGCAGCTTCTCGAGTCGCACAGTGGGTGCCTCGACGCACACTTGCAGCAGGTATGCAAACACCACGCTCAGCAAGAACACTCCCAAGGCGGTAGTCAGCTGCGGCCAGCGAAAGAACAGGAAAGAGTTACTGAGATTACACAATTTCAGACGGCGCGTTTGCTTTACGACCGCTAAAATCCAACAATACTAGTACAATACAAGTGAACTAAACAAGACAAGTCCTTTTCCATGGTATACGATAGGAAACTCTAGACGAGGTTTGTGTCACCAGTGCGTAGAAAAGCATACTTAACTGTACCATAACAATCAGAAATGATATAAGTACATAAAGTTTAATAAAAAAAGCGGAGCAACGATCCACTGCACTACTTATCTAATCGCGAAATATCGTTGAACAGTGACTGTCGTTGGAGCCATCGTTCCGACAAGAAAACCAGCCTTCGTCAGTGCTGAAAGGCAGTGCAGCCTCCATCAATGCTTTGATGAAACTTGAAAAGGCGAACATTTACACACACACAAAAAAAAAAACTCAAGCGTTGGCCGATACATTCAGATGACTCGTGGACAGTGAACACACACGAAGTTTCAGTCTCTTAGCAAAAAAACTTTATTGTAAATAATTGTTTGCTGGTTAGTTTAAGGTAAATAATTTTTGTTTCAGCAGACGAAGAAAGTAGAAGCTAGCGGGTTTGGTTTTAAGCACCACATAGGGCACCTTTCAGCGAACGTTCAAAGATTTGCATGGTCGGCAGGCTATCGTAATTTGAACTGTTCTGTCATGGAGCTCGTGCACTGTCTTTAGAGCGTGTGTGAGCTCAGGTGCATCGCTGAGCGTCCCTACTGCTTGTTCGCATTGTCTCATTTTTTTCTTGCCTCAAGAAGACTTGTTAGCAGTCCCTCCATTTGTACAGCAGTTCGCTTAACAACTAGGATTTTCTGCATCTCGACTTGCCGTGCCGCGAGGAATTCGAAGATGCTGTACAGCTTGACGTATCAGGTGTGTCCTTCCTAGCCACCGGTAGTCTTCTGCTCTCTTTGCCTCCCTTGTGGATTTTGCTAGAGTGACTTTTGCTCCTGCCGCCTTTGCTCGAGGCCTTCGATGGAGACGGAGCACTGCAGGAAACGCTAGCCTTGCTACCAAAACTCATCTTGGGACTGCTACATCCTGCGGGTGCTCTGCTTTGAGTCCGCGAGGGTCGTGTTGTTGCCGAGCTTGGCTGTGCTGACATCCCGCATCCGTACAGTGACGACTGCGAGAATTCAGGCACGTCTCTGCGTTGCTGATGGTAGGGCGGCTCTCTGGAGGAGACTGGTGGCGCTTCTTCCGCCGCCCCATACACTCCTTGCCCGGGGCCTTCGACAGTGCGTGAGATCAGCTGGCCATCCTCGAAGCAGAGCACGGTCTTCACGCCGTCCTGTATGATGGTACGCGTCTCGATGCGCTTACCATTCACGTAGCGAACCGAAGTCAGCTCCTGCGTCGGCATGGTCCCGAAGCCCGCCGAGACGCCTCCCATGCCAGTGGTAGGCATGCGCTGCCCGAACAGCAAGTCGTCTAAATCGATGATGAAGCCCGACCGAAAGAGGCTCCCGAAGTTTTGCTGATAGAAAGGAAAACCACCGGTGAACACCGTGGCACCGCGCTGGCCGCCATGAAATCCCCGGAACAGGTCTCGAAAAGGGTCCGACGAGCCGAAGAACTCGCGGAATAACTCCTCGGGGTCGCGAAATGTGAACGCGAAGGCACCTGTGCTGTGGTATGCGTTGCCACCCCGGGAGCTCCCGTAGTCTGCTTGGCGGTCGGCATCGTGTCCTCCGTGGCCGTAGATGTCATATTGGCGCCGCCTGGACTCGTCGGATAGCACTTCGTAGGCTTCCGAGATTTCCTTGAAGCGGGCTTCAGCCTCGGCCTTGTTGTCGGGGTTCTTGTCGGGATGCCACCTGAGCGCTAGCCGCCGGTACGCCCGCCGGATGTCCTCCGGGGACGCGTTGCGCGGCACCTCGAGCAGGTTGTAGTAGTCGCTCATGGCTGAATGGAGGCACGAAAGTCGATGCAGATGAAGCAGCACAATTTCGGAAAGGCCCTGCTAAGTATCTTCGATTTTGGACACTGCCGATATGGCGACGGCCGCCCACGAGACCGGTACAATGGCGCTGCTGCTTCCCTACTTCTTCTTTTTATTCAAACGAAGAAGACGAGGCGTGAGAGCCGCAAGCGAATATGTGCAAATATGGAGGAATCAAATCAAAACAAATTATGTAAGCAAATATTTGCCGCTAAATTACCATAGAATCTCACCACCAAATAAGCAGCTCAATTTTTAAAGTAATAAACTATAGTTCTTTGTGTATAGACCCTAATTTTTTAGTTTACACATGCGCATAAGGATTTGGTGGGTATAACTGCAGAGCAGATGCTTGATTGAACTTTGTGGTAATAGGAGTATATCGTGTTTTGGAACAATGTGAATAAAGATAATTTGCATTGGGTAAAAAGTAAAAAAAGAGCAAGCAAAAAATACTCGCTCAACTCCTCTTCGCAGGGGGCGCAGTAATAAGGCACCTTCCTGATCGTTTAAAAAAAGATATATAGTGGGTATGCGCCACGATCAATAGGTGAAGAACAAGAACAACAACAAGTTCCATTAAGAATTTCCTTGTTTGAAGAGTTTTATGAGCACCCCCACATAAAAGATGAGAAAATGTTTCAAAAGCTGTGAACTATGTGCACAACCAGACCACTCCATCATTAGGGCGAAGAGCAGCAGCTGTCTTTATCGTCTTGCCTTGCACACCCGAATGCTCGTAATGGTTTAGAGCTAGAAACATAAGCTACAGTTCAAATATCCTCAATGATATTGTATCCAACGCTTACAGATTGCATCACAGCAATCGTTGTGTGGATTGCATTCAAGTGTTAACACCGAAAATAAAAAAAAGCAATAAACCGAACTAGCTCTTTCAGCTGAAATACCTCGTATACGCATTTGGGTCAGCGTTCCTCGTAAGCAAGAAGAAGACGAAATTAGCACCCCACCCGTGCTTCACATACCTCGTATACAAATCGGTCTCATACACCGACATTTCCGCAACGATTTTACAGCGAAAGCTGTTGTGAGATCAAGCCAACAGCTGTTTTTGGCGACGTAGTTGTCAGCCGTTGCCACCGCAGCCCGTAACCACAATCGCGCAGAAGAGAAAAAGAAATATCCGCAGTATAAAGGGATTTTGCCCGTGATCTCGGCGGTACTGTCGAATATATTACCACAAATCCACGCTGGCTCTTGAAACTCTTCAGCAAAGAGACCTTATACAGGTGTCATATCGGGCAAGAAATCGTTTGGACACAAAGATGCATAGCACGGTAGAAGAGCGAATGGCAACCAGGCATCACTCGACGCGAACTGTGCAGCGAATGTGTGGTTTAATGCTCACCACCCATCATAAAGGGATCAGCAAAAACTCTTCATCGTCATTAGCCACAGCTTCAACAAAATGGATATAATGTCTTACAAATGTGCACCCGGTGACTGGCTTCACAGAATAAAGAACAACACACTAAACAAAAATGTCCTGAAATAATCTCAAAAACTGGGTAAACCACTTGTCCTCTAGCGCGCTACCTTTCCTGGATTTTTTTCCCACCTACCTTCGAAGTAAAAATTTACTCTCGTGCTAACTTAATTTTTGAACGCAGGAAGGATAGTAATTATTTACCCCAGTGAGGTTTTGAGTGAGTATGGAGAGAGTAAATTTTTACTGCCTTCACAGGGTTTTCGAGGTGATTTCTGGGAGTTATTTCTGGTGGTAAAAAAATAAAAATTGACGGGTGGATTCGCCCAGAGTCGACAAATTCATTAAATATCAAATGACGGCAGAATTGATGACACGTAGATTCACATACAGACAAACACGCACGCACAACAAATGCAGAACAAAACACCAATCAAACAGACTGCACACGTTACTCGACTGCACTTTGACAACCCCGTATATATAGGCATGACTTTTTGACCGGCCATGTAGTACCGGTAGGAGAGCTCTATTTTTTGCATCAATTAACAAGAACGGTTGAAGGTGCAAGCGTAAACTTGAGGTGAGCTGCAGGCCGCTGAATGTCACACCAATCTTTTATTATAAATCTACTCAATCTCACTTTTTTGACAATCTAGTAATAAGTTGGCACACCGGGCTCTTGGTCCCACACGTGATAGCACTGCTGATGCGCAAGTCCATAAAATATACCTAAGTACGCACAAATCATGGCAGCCTAATGATTTTCTTTGAGTGACGGTGCACAAACACAGTAGCAGCGCATATTCATGACAACGGGCGTAGAAGAGCGGTGCACGCCTGCATACAAGCTTCGTACCGACGGCGTCATAGGCCTTTCTAGAAGCACGGCTATGCGATGAAAGACAGCTGGCGATCACAAAACACATATCCTGTGCGAATTTGATATGTGGGGTTTAACGTCCCAAAACCACCATATGAATATGAGAGACGCCGTAGTGGAGGGCTCCGGAAATTTCGACCACCTGGGGTTCTTTAACGTGCACCGAAATCTGAGCCAACGGGCCTACACCATTTGCGCCTCCATCGGAAATGCAGCCGCCGCTGTGCAAATTTCGTCGTCATTTCACACACAAATGAACACGCGTGCGCTATCTTAGGGGGACGTGGCGATGTATGTATTTCCAACGAAAGAGACGGACCACCATCTGGGTTTTCTTCGTGCTCACCGGCAGCCGCTTGTTGGTTACGGGGACGGGGCGATGTATGCACTTCCAACGAAAGAGACGGACCACCATCTGGGTTTTCTTCGTGCTCACCGGCAGCCGCTTGTTGGTTCCGTCTGCCTCATATCGGCTTCGCACTACATGTTTGTGTACAGTTGGTGCATGAGGCGGGCAATTCGGGCAGCACTTTACTCCAGCAGACATCGCCTTCTGTGGAACAAAATATATGTGATAATTCTTTCACCTGCCCCGGTGACACACTCCCACTGGTCACTGGCGGCCACAGCTCGGTACCGACGACATAGTGAAGCGCCTTGCCTATCGCTTCTCCAGGAAGCAACGAAGGACGATGACAACAGATTGATTTTGTTAGCACTGGCAGATTGTCGCGATTCGACATGGAAGCGAAGTATCCGCGACGTGCGGGTTCGAAGGCGCTCGGAAGTGCACGGTCGCTCGATTATGTAGGAAACACGTGAGCTCCATCAGCCCAACCAGACACACAAATCCCGAGATTCTTGCACCGTATGTCTCCAGGGCCACAGCAGAGCAAAAGCGAACAATTTGCGAAAATATGCAGGACAACTTTCCGCAGCAGGTTTTCTTTCTTTTTTTTGAGGGTACCCTCCGCCCCCCCCCCTTTTTTTCATTCACAGAATGCGGTCCTCGCTCTTTGTGCCTATGCTGCTTCCAGTTCGTGCTTAAGTGCGTTGAATCGAGGTCAGTCATGAAACACGACGATGCAAAAAAAAAAAAATCTGTGGTCCTCACGTACTTTCCGGATTCACTGGGAGCGTCATTAGGGGGGTATGGGGCAAAAGCCGCCGAAACAGCTGCACCTTGCAGTCACATGGTTATAAACTCTAAAGCGCAGGTTCAAAGTCACGTGATAGAAAAATTCCTGCGTGTAAAACTGGATTTTGACATCCTTTTACTACGTGCATCAGAGGTGGTGGTAAAACTATGCCATGTATCATCTTCAACTCCAACACGAGGTAGCGATTTTAAACGCGAGAGAGTTTTCAGAGGTCATGAGCCACAAAAACCCCAAACTCGGATAGTTTTTGCTTACAGTGAACGACATAGTAGGGGCATCGTGCTACCTAAACAGATGTATGATGTATCACGTATACCGAATATCTATCAGGTGTGCTTGTATTAAATGCCTTAAGACGGGATCTAGAAAAGTCGCTTTTCTACCTTTCGTTGTGACTGAGTGGTACGTTCCGCGCAGGCTTTGTGTTTTTCTTTCTTCGGCTTGGATAGCTCAATCTATATATCAGTTGTTTCACCCCTTGCTACGAGGAAGGATTCGTATCATGCCCATGCTAATGTTGAAAATAACAAGTTTTACTAACAAACTACCTAAAAACAAGAAATCTGCAGGGAGCGCCGGCCTTCTTGTGATTCATACTTTGCTGTATAACACTTATTGTCACTGACAATAAAAAAGTATGTGGCGTTTAACATCCACAAATAGTCATATGATTATGAAAGACGCTGAAGCAGAGGGCTTCGGAAATTTCGACCACCTGGGATTCTTTAACGTGCCCCTAAATTTAATTACACGGGTCGCACACATTTTTGGCTTCACTGAAAATGCAGGTGCTGTACCCGGGATTCAATCGCGCAACCTTCGGGTTAGCAGTCGAGTGCCATGACCTCTATATAGGCCACCACGTCAGGGCCACCTGTTGTCAAAGAGTCACGCACAAGGTGGTGAACAGCGCGTGTTTCGAAGATTTCAAGTAACCATAAAACGGTCATTGCACTGGAGAGATGGTGGTGGGGACAATATGGTGGTGACGGATGTATGTAACTAGTGACAAATTAACCCATTATGTTAATTACACTTAGAGACATTAGGCATATATCAGCCTACCTATACTCGTGAAGTTAAATTAAGCGATTTGTAACAGTCATATGACTTTCTGAATCTACGTGCGTGAAAGCGCCGCCAGTTGCCCAAGTGCAAGCGTGGCTGCGCTCTCCTAAAACAGACGTCGCAGCCGACTTCACCGATTGGCGGGCAGTCACGACGAGGCACCGATCAGCTCGGCGGCTCCGTTAGCGTCGTGCGGCTTGTGGAACAGTAGAGCGCACGCCTGGTGTCGCTATATTCGTGATTGTTCGACGCACGTTGAAGTAAGCAGCATCGTTTGTATGCAAAGACGTGGCTAGGCACGCGCCTCAGACCACGGTTGCCGTTCTGCGAACACAATTTTCCCCTGCGGTACGCCGACATAGTACGTAAATCGTATTTTTACCTCGCAGTTTCACTTACCTGAAAGAACTCGTCCGTGTTGATGTAGCTCCTCAGGCGAAGCATGCGCGTTATGTAGAGCAGCACGTGTATTAGGTAGATCTCACAAGTCAGCCTCGAGAGTGGCAAGAAAAACCTCCAAGACAGCATATTGTTCAGGATACCTGCGTCATGAAAATCGATACCGCAAACACTGGGGTAAACACTTTTAGATGCGTACGTCATCTGCTTATATTGGCACAGACTAAATAACTGACAGTTGGTATGAATGCGCTTAATGGAAATTTAATTTCGTGCATTTGTTCTATTTGGACACCAGTGCATTACTCACGTTTGTGCTTCTTTACAAAAAAAATGAAATAAAACATCGCCACTAGAACACTTCATGTTGCACTTGTGAAGAAACCCAGTACGACGCCCAAAGTGATGACGTGCTCATATGTCACCGTTCCCGCTTTGTTTTCGGCAGCACCACACGATTATCGACCGAATGAAGTACTCCCGCTATTTTTCATGTGCTCTCAATTATAATCATTGCCGTCGTTTTTACATTGCAATGCTTGTTTTCTACGCAGACAATCGTGGCAAGAACAAGCTCGAATGTACGTATAATAACTAATGTTTATCGGTTTTCTACACCACAGAGCTATAGTTTACCCGGCCCTCAACCCTTTGGTTTTTTCTTTTTATCCAAATGTTTATTCCTAGACACCGTGCCGTACTATATCAATTGGTAATTGTGATATATTTGTATACCAGTCGCTGAGTTCTAGTTGCCTTTTGTTTTTTGCTTCAACACATCACATATATACATATACTTGTAAAGGCTCTTTCAGACCTGCTACTAGGGGTGCGATGCGTTATGGCCTGCCTGAGCTTCTCGGGTAGACGAGTTTGCTTTGAGCTCGCTTTGCGGCGGCTATGGCATGAAGACAGTGTGGAGTGCGTGATAGCAGCGTTGAAAAAAATGGCTACAGGAACGCGCGTGGCGTTGGAAATGCATGTGGGACACTTGTGGTGGTTATCAAAGAAACACCGCATGCAAATACGCAAGCGCCGCCACTCAGTGAACAAGTTTACAGTGCAGCGACATCAGCGGGATTGTAGCGTTATCTTTTTGCCAACTCAACACGTGCCTCCCACATGCTAGTTCGTGGGTGCATGTCTTCTTTCGAACAAGTTCTTTCGTTCCACCTGTAGCATGGAAATTTACACTTTAGAATGCAGCCAGGGTGCACCCGCAGCACTTTCGTGATTTTCTTTTTGCTACTATCAAATATTGCAGATAAATATAAGGACAGGTGGTCACCAGGGGCAGTCGCATAATGTCGGCAACGCAGCTGTGATTGGCAACGTCGTGAGCGCGGTGAAATTGAATGCGAGACATCGCAGCCGCAAGTTAATATCACTTTTACTTCTGTGTGCGTGTGTGCATATTCTGCGCGATAAAGCTGATAGATAAATCGTGCCACTCGACATGAGCACTGCAAATTGGCAAGAGCAAACGTGGTGGGCATACGTTATCTCCGCCTCGGGCGTCTGCCAATCAAACTGATCAACGCGTGAACTTGAATATGAACTCGTTGATTCTGAGAAATCCCGAGTTCAACTCGGCACTGTGAAGGTGCTAGTGTGACTGTCAAGCGTTTGCTGCCATGAGCGCTAAGCGGCAGCTTTTTTCCACATAAAATAATTAGGTGAGCTTACAGTACTTGTGCAAGGCTGGAGCCATGGAGAAGCTTGTGATAAACTACATTTTTGCAGCGTTTTAGTTGGTCGTCTACTCACGTGTGTGATCGGCTTCGAAGTGAAGACCACACCAGCTTTTTCTCAAGTTTCATTGAACTAATTGACTGAGGCTTAATGACCATTACACTGAGCTGTCTTGTCTTCAATGGTAAGGCTTCAATTGAAATGCAATTATCTCGGGTGCAATTAGCAAGGCATTGGACAGTGTGAAGCTATTAAGCATAATCTTGATTAGCAGGATACTGATTGTCATAATATTAGTAAGAACTAATTAGCATGATTTAGCGTGCTCAAAATTAACGGTGCCTTAGTTACCATAGTTAAATTAGCTAATCAGCTAGCATGCATTAGTCAGCCCGGTTCAAGCGTTAATGGCTTCATCAGTACGGTCTTCTTAAAATGTGGCGTAATTACCGGGACCTTACCATAACTTGGCGTAATTAACTTGGTCATAGCATGTCCTGGTCTAACTGGCGAAGTATACGGTTCAGCCAAATTGCTAATTCGCTGGCCACACGTGCTCGGGTACCACCACGGGATAACAACAAAGACGACGCACACCGGCTTAGCAGCGCACTTGAATGTACGCTGACTCGTGGCCTCGCTAGAATGTACAGACCGGCACGTGACCTCGGAAGCAGCTGCGGTTGCGATGTTGTAAGACGCTCGGCCAGTACTGATCTCAGAGGCCATCGTGCAGATTTTTCTAAAACAGACATAGTGCAAGTAATAAAAGCTTCAAAATAAATTTAAACACCCCTGCCTCTGAAAAATTTCATCACAAAAATTTCTGACACTTTTATTGCACGGGTGCATATCTGGACTCAGTGGAACGACAAGCAAATGAAAGATGATGCTTCTGGTTTGAGAACACCGCACAACTTAGTAGATTGTCCTTGAAACGGTGACTGGTGCTATCGTAACCAATGAAAGGCAGCGCTTTCAACGGTGAATTTGACTATCGCGTACTGCTGGCTCGTTAATAAAAGAGTGTCTCCAGAGCTCGGTAATGTCCCAAAATTTGCAGAACTCGACCGATCCTGCATAGAGCCGTAGCATCATTCGCGCGACCAAGTACGTCGTGAAACAGTTGGCATGATTGAAGGTTCGGCGAGTCGGTTCATATAAATTGCTTGAAAATTCGCGGAAAGATGGTCACAAATGAAAATCGATTAACATGGGACGACGCACTACTGACAACTGATTTTGTTTATTCCTAACGCACATTCATATAACGCAATATAATAATCCCCTGTTATGATGGCCAACTAAAGATAGTTACCTGAAGCAGCCCGTCATCTGCTGGTAGGTGTCGTTGTTAGAACTGTTGTGACCGGTCTTTGTAGGCACCGCAGATCAGGTATGAATATGTCGAGGCAGCAGGAAGTTGGACTTAACAAAGGATTTATTTACGTTATGTACATAGCAAGAACTCTCTGGCCCAAAGCTCTACATCGAAAAAGCTCCCTAAGCAGCCCTCGAGCGCTGCTTGAAGTCTTGTTTCCCCAGATCTCTAGATCGGGGAACTGGTCCACACTGCACTGTCTAATAACATATCCCACAGCACTCACGAGTGTCATTATGCTGGCACCACTCCCAACATGCACACATACACAACCAAAACACGTGTATTGTTCCGGTGAAGCTGTCTCATCCAGCGAATCTTGCTTCCAGCAAGTGGGGTGTGATGAGTCCGTCATCTCACCGCTGGAGCTGACCACCCATGCTGTCGAATAGCGATCGAAGGCCAGAATCCTCCGAGGGCATGTGCCTGAAGATCTGGCGCTGACTTGAGCGCCGGCGGCCTATCAGTCAGAAACGCACAGCGTGGTGGTCCGACGTCAATCTTCGGCAGAAACTCGGCATTCTGGCTTTTCCTGGGGCACAAAGCCGCCACGGGCCGCATTTATGCGGCAGCCCCAGCGACAGCAGTGCTCTGTCGAGTAATTGTAACCACGCACCGCCCAGTACACGAAGAACAGCAGGACGCCTTCACGCTACTCCTTATTGCCACAAAGTGAGGCGGCTGCCTTTATTCTGTCCCGGCGACAGCAGCAACTAGTGAATCGCCGATCGCAACAGAACCCTATCCCTGCTTCATGTAAACTGATGCAGGGGTGGCATATGCACCCCAAACTATCTTGCCTGATGTGAAAGGACGCGGTAATTTCTTTCCAAGTTTTCGCTTGGTGCTTGTAAACCACTGTGGTTTTTTCGAACAGAGGCCTGCAGCCGCTCTTCTTGCAGTCCTTGCAGTGCACGACCAACTGCGTGAAACACCTGCTAATCAAGGAGCTGTGTGTGTTGAGGCACCATCCGATCACCTCTGAACTAGTCAAGCGCGCAAGAAAATGACGTCCGGTTATCTTACGGGGCAATGGTAATGCGAACATACTTTAATTGTTTGCGGTAACGGGTAAAGGTTGTACGCAGGTGGGAACTTTGGTCGAATTGAATTGCTTCTTTGTTGCCAGTCGTAAACGGGCATGCACTACCAGGGCTAGCCGCAGGTGTGAATGAGTATTAAGAGTAGCTCGGTAGCTACCTTCTACTGGTTGAATAAGTGGATATGGCGTTGCGTTGCTAAGTACGAAATAGAGAATCCTTGCCATTTTTTGGGCTTCGTTGAAGCGCTGCAAAAAGACATGGACGCCCGAAAAAAGAATGTACTGCGACACACAGCACTCGTACTAATGTTCCTGGTGTGAATGTCTTTTTCCACGCAACGAAGAAATGATACACTGTCAATAAGGTTACGTAATCAACCTTATTAACAGGCTCCTCGCCAAGGCGTTAGCATTTTGAGTGGAGAAAAATACGAAAAATTTGATGTGCATACAGTCAGCTAGAAGCTACAAGGAACCCAAAGCAACCCAATTTAATCCACCGTAACCAAACTACGGCCTATACCGTTTACGAATGCCGTAATTTGAGCGTGTATATTGGATAGATTAGACACCTAAGTTGAGCACTAATAGTTGCACGGTTAGTTTTGCATGGTTTAACAGCCCAAATCGGCACACGTGCTATGAAAACCGCTCAGACTCGATGAATAATTTCAATGACATAGCAATTTTACCAAGAACGAAGAGCCCGCTGCACTGCACTTTTGCGTCCTGCCCCATCGAAGCGTGGCTACTTGACCGACTATCAAACTTTGCCATCTATTGCTGGGTAGCAGTAAGCCGCTGTGATAGCCATTGATCCTATTGGGTGGGCTGCGCCCAAATCAGGCCCGAAATCGTGTGTGGTGTGTACAAGGTATTGTATAACACTTTGCGTACATACCACCACGACCCGTGGCGCAGGCGTACGACGGCCAGAAGAAGGCGAGTGCCCAGAGGAGCCGGTGGAATCCTCCGTAGAGAGCATTGGTCACGGCGTCTGGCAGATGACCTTGATTCCAAGGGAATGAGACGAACAAGACGCCGCAGGCCAGGGCTAACGATACCAGCCACAGGCCCATCTCCACTTTCTGGAATGATGCAAATTCAAACAATGGGCGTCTTTGCGATACCATTGTTCTGGGTAGGTATTTCTCTATATTACAGAGCTTATTCAGATATGACTCACATGAAGTGTTTCGCACTAGTTTTTATGCAAGCAGTTTGTTAAAGTGCTACGCACATGTGTTTTGTTAGCCTTATAGCAGTACTAGTTAGTTTTTTATTGGCATTTATCACCTACCCTATGGTTGCTGGACCGTTAAAGGCTGTCTAAGAGGTACGATTGAGGTCTCACTATGGAGAAGTTTCGCTTTCTCAGGGAACGGAGTAGCAATATGCTGACATATGGACATAGGCATATGAAGCAAACAGATAATGAAACCGTCACCATGGTAGTACATGGTTACGTGGCTTGGCTGTTGACCCGAATGTCACAGTTTCGATATAAGCTCCGTCACAGTGGTTACAATTTGCTTGAGGCGAAATTATATAGTGGTCTGTGAACTGAGATTTAGAAAAAAAATTTGCCCGCAGCTTCCCTCGGGGGAACACTAAGGAGGATGCGGAGCATATAATTGGTTAACGGGGTGTTAAAGTGCGACTTACTTGGGTCGATGGCTACATTGGTTAACGTGGTTGTGAAATGGGGTGTTAAATTGCGACTTACTTGGGTCGATGGCTAAATTGGTTAACGTGGTTGTAGGAGGGGGTGTTAAATGAGTGAACACGTACACACGTATGCGAAAGGGCGGCGCTGGTCGAAGGGACGTCGATCATTGTGTTTGTGGATTCGTTGGAATTCATTTCACCGCGACCTTGGACGTCGACGCGCCGTACAAACCAACCGACGAGCGGCAACTGAGCGAGCGAGCGCCGACCTTGAGTATATATACAGCGCGACGGCGCATGCGCTGTCAGCTGTCGAATGTTGTCGAAGGAGAAGCGCGCGCGCGGCACAGATGGCGACGGCGCGACGGCGCATGCGCTGTCAGCTGTCGAATGTTCTCGAAGGAGAAGTGCGCGCGCGGCACAGATGGTGGGCGACGGCGCGACGGCGCATGCGCGCGCGTCAGCTGTCGAATGTTCGAGAAGCGGTGCGGATGGCACGGACGGCGCACTACAAGGCGCGAGTATAAGATGCTTCCGCATCTAAAAAACGTTAAAGTACAGAGAGAGGTCAGAGTTATTCAATCAAATGAGTTGCGACACTGCGTTCCGAAACCCGCATACGCCACTGGCCGGCCTAGCGGGATTGAGCAGATCGTCGCGCCCCCTGAGAGCAACGATACAAAACACTGCATCGGCACTTGTGCGTTCGCTTCTTTTTAGGCTGCTCAACACCGGGTGCAACAGTGAGTGGCGTCGCCGCCTCAATAACTGACCTTGGCTTGCACGGCGCCCGCCGCCACTATGAGCTGTTTTCGATCTGCAAAAGCATAATCAAAGCCGGGTCAAAGCGTCAAGTTTTATTTCGTCGAAGGTGGTGCTTGCAATTTTGTGCTACGATGGTTCTAACGCTGCGCCCTGACTATTTCTATTACTCATCGTTTGCTCGTTTGAAAATGTGCGCTTGAGGTCCATTGCTCACGGGAAGTTTGACGAATCCTTTCAACTGTGCCACTCTGCGGTTCACGATGTGTCTCACTAACACGACGTGAGTGACGGTCGCACAAACGAGACATAGATACGGTAGAGTGCAAACAAAAGCACAACAGTACCGATCAGTACTTACCGCGAATTGGTCGCTTTGTCATGCACGCCGCGGTCAAATTCTACTAATCGCGAAATCAATGAGACACTGGCTGTGATACCATATAAATATAAAAGCCCAACGACAAGAAAGTGGGAACATTGAACATTGCTATTTACTTGCAACTAGAACTGCAAGCGCTCTTTTCAGGTGCGATGTTCATAGAGTCTTTTCAAAGGCACCAGCGTTTTCTGCTCGTGCAACGTCGTCAGCTGCCGTTGACAGACTTACAGGGTGGATCCACCTGGATCCACGCTGCATTCCGCTTGCATCACGCCTTTCCACTCACTATTTTGCCGAAATGTAAACATCATGGGCTCTCCACACGAATCTGATAAACTACCGACTTCGCTGCACCGTCCATTCACGGTGTGCTAGCTGTGTAGCACACGAACACGCCACTTGTACAAACGTTACTTCTAGCGCAATGCTGAAAACAAGAAAAAAGGACAGATCACCAAGAGAACAAGCAGCTCTTCTGTCCTTTATCACGTCTCCACTACTGCGACAAAGTAACACGTTCAGCTCCCTTACGCACCAACTCACCTAAGAATAAGTTATAGGCGTTGCCAAGCTGTTTGGCAGAATGCGGTGGTGCTCACTATCTTGCTAAACGCGAAAACACAAAATATTGCGTTTTCTTGTTAGCTTTGTTGTCAAGAGCAAGCGCTGTATTCTACTCACATCCGCCAGTCCGGCCAATGCCATGTTTGGATTTTCATACATCGAGCCTATGGGGAGCTTCGGAACTCGTATGATTGAATAACTCTGGTCGAAATGTCCTGATCCCTCAACTACGGTGCGCCTCTTAGCAATATCGTGGTTTTGGCGCATAAACCTTCATCAAATATAATGCAATATTACAGCTAAAAAGAATTAGGGGTGTTAACCGAAGTGATGAAATTGATGTTTAGTAATACTCAAATGAAAATATCAATTAAAAATGCCTGTGATGTGCACCAGCCAGACAACTTTCGAATTACGTAGAGATTCTTAAAGGGAAAAAGAAGAAAGAAGCACGGCGTTGTTACTCTCTATATATATAGAGGACATGAAGGAAGGGAAAAATTTCCTTCCTCCATGATGGAGGATGCCTCTAAAACGCCATGCGGGGATGGTGAGGGTGAGTGAAAGAAGGAGGAGGATTACGCGTGCGATGCTGTAGCGACTTAGCTGCATTCTCCCGTCCACCTTTTTTGTTATTTCTCTATGACCTTCAGAGTGTCAACCGGCGCCCCTCATCACCATGGTGGCGATTGTGAAATATTTTTTTGGCAGAAGATGTGATAGAGCATGTGTTCTTTTTACGAATTGGCAGCTGACATATATACAATTGCATGTTAGTTATTAGCATCCTACATGCTCAATATTGTTGCTCACAATAAATTAAACAAAAAGGATTGGGAATGGATTGAAAGGCATGTTTCTTTTTTAGTTTTAACATGAAAGTTTATTATGCCGCGTCCACAATGGTTCTACTGACCTATTTCTGTCACGGATACGACGTACAACAGACTAACATATTGCAAAGAAAAAAAGACTAGAATAAAAAGCTCCATTCTTGAGCGTCAAAACTACAACTACTCGCTTCTCAGTTCGGGGCGCGAATTGCAAAACCAATCAGTAAGAGGTATGTGGCAAATCCCGTTGGTGACCCTCAGAGCTCGATAACTTCAGTGCGCTTTCGTCGTCACTAGTGAGATGGCGCGAATGGTGCGGGGAACTTAAACATGCAGGAAGAAAAAAAAAGAGGGAGCATTACGTCACATCAGTGAAGGCATGTGAAGTCCACCATGTCGGCCCAGGACGTCATAAAACGTCAGAGCGTGTGGTTCGTTGTAGTACTCTCGGCGCTGTTTTGTTTTTGAACCTCCTGTCTCAGCCCGTCGCTCTGCGCCGAACAAGCACGTTTCCATAAAAAGCTACCAGGTGCCATGCCCCAAAGTCTTGGTAAGTGTCATTGCTTGTGTAATCTCACCGCAAAAGGTCACGTGTTGGGCTGACACAGCTGGCTTCAAAACGGGTTGGCTTATCAACACTGGCGGCATGGCGTAATGCTGCTTCCTTTCTTTTTCCTTTTCCATGAAGGTAAAGTCTTTTGATTGTGGAATGTTGCAAAACGAGGAAACTCTCCACCGCTAACGCGTTTTCTCCTCGATTCTCCTCGCCCGCCGGCTGCACAGGCATGGTGCCATTTTTCGCCGAAGATCTCACGGACGCACCGAGAAATTTAATGAAGACCTGGAATTTCGGGTGACTTGTATGCCCTAGTGATGTAAAAACATCCGAAATGATGATAACACGATTGAGAACACCTGAATGAACGTTTGTAAAAAGACGCTTCTTTCAATACTGGTGTAAATTAGGCTTGCTAACTTAAAAGAACCTTCATTACCTTGTGTCCGTGTTTGCGCACCCTGTTTCTTTAACATGAGTAGCAACCATCTCAGCTCTTTGACAGTCTTTGCAGATGATTTTTTTTGCAAATGACAACTTTTTTCAAGTTTGCATCTGATATGGTATTGACTGCAGTGCGACTGTCTATGCTTGAATTTTAAAACATGATAGTGTTTATGTCAGGGTCCACCAAGACTTAAGTGACGCTTTTTCGTCCCGAATAAGACGCTAATGAAAGCGTGTCACCAAACTAGAAAGAAAAAAAGCTTTTAGAAAAAATTACACCATCTCTCGCTAAAGGGAACCGTGTGTAGATGCGAAGCAGCGGGCGCTGAAGCTTATACAGGAGGCGACGGCACGCTGGCGCTATTGGCGGCGTTCTGCAGGAGAGAAACGAAGGGAGGTGCAAAAGACGCAGTGAGGAACCGGTGTTTTCTACTGGAACATGTAAATCGCGGCTAATGAGCAATAAAGGAAAGACGACACCCATTAGACACAGAGACCTACAGTCCACTTTTAATAACGCGCACGCTGAGAATGTCTATTGTTAAACAACCTGGGACAAGATCATGGATGTTTTCGACTCTTCGGTCATAGTAATCACCGTCACAGAGTGATGTGGAAGCAAGGTAAAGACGGGAGCAGCATCACGGGCAAACTATAACTAGATTTCAGCCGACGCCACCATCGGGGCTGCCGTTGCAGAGATAGCCTCCAACCCGGCCGCCGCGCCGATTCATCCATGGTCTAACACAATGAAGACTGCAGCGGCTTCGGCCGAGGCTGGCGTGCACCACCAGACCCGCTGCTGTCAGTAAGTTGTGAATGCTGAGGGTACTGCTTATAGATATCCGCGGAAGCCTTTCCTGGCGACTGCCCAAG